CCCCCCCCCCTTTTTTTGTGTTTCTTACTCTCGTGCAACACCTCTAATCTTCGGCACTTATATGACCGTTTTGGGTTGCAAGTGCCGTAAAACGCCTACTACAACTTAAAAAACCTTTACCACATCAAGTAAATCCGTGTAATTTCTCCAACAGACTGCAGCATGGCTGACTCACGTGTGGGAGAAAGACAGGGGAATGGAAAAGAAGAAACAGATCCCCTTCAAAATTCTTAGCCAGTAAGTCTTAAGTAACTGGAAATATCCTTGTTCATGTATCAGTTGGCGAGTGCTCTGGTATGGTTTATTTTTTCTTTCCTATCAAACATCTATCGTCTTTATCTCCCCTCCTTCTTTGTTATGTTTGTTACTCTCTTGTAACACCTCTAATCGTCGGCACTTATATGACCTTATTGTGCTGCAAGTGCCGTAAAACTCTATCTAAAACTAAAAACTTCAACGTGTTCATTAGTACTTTGTTTTGGAGCCATTGGTTTCTTGTAGAGCATAAACCCTTTTTTCGCATGGACTGTTAGTTTCTGGGTATTGTAACCTATTTATACTAACAACACTTCTCAGCAACATGTATGGCACTAGACATATTCCACTAGACTTGTCAAAATCTATCTTCACACCTTTACCAAATAAACTAAACGCTAATGAATGTGAAACCCATTGTACCATCAGACTCATTAGCCACTTTACAAAATTACTACTTAAAATTATTATAATGAGAATACGAAACAAAATTCTATCAGAAATAGCCCAAGAACAGTGTGGATTTATTGAAGGTAGAGGCATTGTAAATGCCATTTATGTCACTAAAACAAAAATAGAACGTGCCCTGGAAGTTCAGAAAGATCTTCATTTCTGCTTTATTGACTACACCAAGCCATTCGACAAAGTTAGGCACGACAAGATCATCGACATGCTGGAAGTCCTCAATATTGATGGGACTTAAGAATTATCAAGAACATCTACTGGGATCAAACCGCTGCAATAAAAACATGTTTGTTTGTTTTAGTAGAGGTTTTACGGCGCTCGCAACTGCATAAAGTCTTATGAGCGCCAGAAGATTAGAGGTGTTACAAGAGAGTAACAAACATAAAAAAAGAAGGAGGGGAGATACAGACGATAGATGTTTTATAGGAAAGAAGAAGCAAACCACACCAGAGCACCCGCCAACCACCCACGCAATAAGAAAAGAAAACGACATCAACGAATTCATACAGATGAAAAGAGGAGTCAGACAGGGATGTGTACTTTTTCCAGACTTGTTCTCTCTGTATAGGGAAAATATCATGACACATATAGAAGAAATGCCAGGTATCTCGAAAAGGGGACATAACGTGTACAATCTAAGATAACAATATGCAGACGAACATTCCTAATAGCAGAAGATGAAGAACACCTACATGATCTATTAAAAGTCATCGTACAAGAGAGTGACAACATGGGCCTATGACCAAACATAAAGAAAACTGAAACAATGGTGATAAGCAGGAAAACCCAAATCCTAACTGCCATATCAAAGTCAGTGGTACCACACTCAAGCTAGTTCGACATTTTAAATATTTGGGGACCATTATATCTTCAGATGGCAGACGTCACATCGAAATTAAAAGCTGCATTCGCCAAGCAAAAGCAACTTTCCGCAAAATGAAACAGATACTAACAAACATCAATCTGTCACTGGAAACAAGAAAAAGAGTACTGAACGGTTACATCAATCCTATTATACTGGTGCGAAACATGGGCAATCAAAGACAGCTGGAAAGAACATTTGAGGCGATAGAGTTGTGGTTCATAAGACACATGCTATTTATCCCATGAACAGCTAGCAAAACTAATTTTAATGAAGTCTTGGTTGAAGCAAATTGCAGACGACAGCTTAAGACGAATATTATACGAAAGCGACACACAATTAATTTCATTGGACACACAATGCGTTAAGAAGCATTGGAGAATGGTGTAACAACAGGCAAGTTTGATGGAAAGAGAGGCAAATGTAGACAGTGGGAAAAAATACTGGGCGAGATGACAACATGGCTAGGAGCAGCAAGAACAACAGACACCATTGCTGCAACGCAAGAAAGAGTGAAGTGGAGGTCCATGATCGGCAAGGCACGGGATGATGATGATGATGAACCTATCTATCTATCTATCTATCTATCTATCTATTTATCTATCTATCTATCTATCTATCTGTCTATCTATCTATCTATCTATCTATCTATCTATCTATCTATCTATCTATCTATCTATTTATCTGTTCCCAGGACCGCGTTTTTCTCCAGCCATCTATGGAGTAAAACATTAGCCCAGAGGGTCATGTGCACCATCCTGTTTGCCTCAGAGACGGGGAGATCAGAGAGCTTTGCCGACAATCTCTACGACATGTGCAAGCCTTACTTTAACGCAAAGGTATACACTTGTATTCATGTGGTCGCTTTTAAGCTCAAGGGCGCTATCCCGAAAAAAGCTGTTTTGAGACAATCGAAGTAAAGTTTTAGGACCCTCATTAGTTTCTACAAAAGACTAGAAGAGGTTTCTCTGTAACCAAAAGTATATACACACCAATGAAACCAAACTTCTCCAATAGGTAGGACAATGCCCACTTTTGGTGTATGTCAAGATTTCTGGAAACCCCCGAAATCTGGCTTAGCCCGCTTGTCCTTAAAGGCGACCATTTAATCCTACACTTGTATCCTAATCTACTTACTTTCTCTGTCTTTCTTTGCATTTTACTCCCATTTAGAGAAATTTGTTTGAGAAAAATGTGGAGTTTCAGAATGTTTTTTATTGAACACCAAGCGAGAGGGGAAAGAATATTATCTTTGTGTTCTGGAAAAAAAAAAAGAAATAACCGGAGTGCATTATTTTATTTGGCGTCGTAATATCATGACAGAGCAGTGTGAGCGAATGTCCAAACAGATATTTAAATTTTATATTTGTTTGGTGTATTCTAGTCAGTGGGGGTTGCATTGTTAAGGTTGAAGCACCCCCCCCCCCTCCATACACACACACACACACACACACACACACACACACACACACACACACACACACACAAACCTTCAAATCCCGATAGAGAGAGAGAGAGAGTGAGACAGACAGACAGATAGACAGACAGACACACACACACACACACACACACACACACACACACACACACACACACACACACACTTCTAAATGGCCCAATTTGTGTCGTTAGGGGTGTGAAACATTCACAGTCAGTCAACACTCACGAGGAGGAAAAGCCGTCAAAGTTGACATGTTTTTTGTTTTTTGTTTTTTGTTTTTGTTTTCGTTTTCCTGACAGCCCTCCAGTTGCTGTGTATGAAACACTTCATTACATGTATGTCTGAGGTTTGGACTGAGCCCAAAATGTTGGAACGTTGTCCTCAACTTATGTCATGCATGATACTAGTTTAATAATATATATTAATAGATAGCATTTGTTTAGCGCAACAGCAAGCTCTATGCGCCTTATAATATATACTATTTATAATTACCCCAGCAGCTCTGAGAGTATTCTGAAACAAAACTCAACTTCCAGGGAAGCATACAGTGCAAACAGCCATTTATAGGCGTAAAACACTTATATACTGACAAGATCTTTCGCTGTCTATGGCCGGGTACCCATTCCCACCTGGGTAAAGTGAGGAAAATTCGTGTAAAGTGCCTTTCCCAAGGACACAACGTCGGACCCGCAGCTCTAACCCCCGAAACGACAACCTCACGAATACGAGTCCGGTAGTCTAACCACTAGGCCACCGACAACCTCACGGTTACGAGTCCGGTAGTCTAACCACTAGGCCATCGACAACCTCACGATTACGAGTCCGGTAGCTTAACCACTAGGTCACCGACGCCACACAAATTGTCCACCAGTCAACAGACACTGGAACGGCATTCCATCAAAACTGATATTACAATCTTTTCCCCGACTTCCACCACTCCCCCCCCCCCTTTCCGCTAGGGGCTGTGTAGGAAATACATTGCATAATATGAGGTTTGAACTCAATCTATGTGGTCTTCAAGTTATGCCACACGTTACGTAGTGGTTATAAAAAGTTGAGAGTCACAGGAAAGACAAGGTGGCGTCGGTAGCCTGGAGGTTAAGGTCCCAATCCCGTAATAGTGAGATTGCCGGTTCGGGGGTTCGAACCTCAGCTTAGCCTGGCGTTGTGTCCTTGGGGAAGGTATTTAGCACGGAGGCATGCCAGTTTGTCACAGGCCCAGCTAGTCACAGGCCCAGCTATTCACAGGCCCAGCTAGTCACAGGTCACAGGCCCAGCTAGTCACAGGCCCAGCTTGTCAAAAGCCCAGTGACAACCGGTTTGTCACAGGCCCAGTTTTTCACAGGTCCAGGTAGTCATACGCCCAGCTAGTCACAGGCCCAGTTAGTCATAGGCCCAGCTAGTCACAGGCCCAGTTAGTCATAGGCCCAGTTAGTCACAGGCCCAGTTAGTCACAGGCCCAGTTTGTCACAGGCCCAGGTAGTCATACGCCCAGCTAGTCACAGGCCCAGTTAGTCATAGGCCCAGCTAGTCACAGGCCCAGGTAGTCATACGCCCAGCTAGTCACAGGCCCAGTTAGTCATAGGCCCAGCTAGTCACAGACCCAGTAAGTCATAGGCCCAGCTAGTCACAGGCCCAGTTTGTCACAGGCCCAGTTTGTCACAGGTCACAGGCCCAGTTTGTCACAGGTCACAGGCCCAGTTTGTCACAGGTCACAGGCCCAGTTTGTCACAGGTCACAGGCCCAGTTTGTCACAGGCCCAGTTTGTCACAGGTCACAGGCCCAGTTTGTCACAGGCCCAGTTTGTCACAGGTCACAGGCCCAGTTTGTCACAGGTCACAGGCCCAGTTTGTCACAGGTCACAGGCCCAGCTAGTCAGAGGCCCTAAAGCCCCTCTAAAATGTCAATTCCGTTTGTATTGTTCAATATTTCTTCCTTTTTGTATGCAAATCAAAGCAAATATAAATTACTCTGTAAAATTTCAACAATGAATGTGCTTTCGTTAAAAACAATTGAAAAATAGAATTCAATTCAAAGTAGTGGGCCTGTGACTAACTTGGGGACTTATGTAACCTAATTGTGTTGCAAGTGCCGTAAAACTCTTACTAAAACTCCCTCTCTCCGTCAGGTGGTGTGTATGAAGGACTACATGGTCAGTGACCTGTGTAACGAGTCCCTTCTCCTGGTGGTGACCAGTACATTCGGCAACGGAGACCCACCGGTCAACGGACAGGTAGATAGATAGATAGATAGATTGATAGATAGATAGATAGATAGATAGATAGATAGATAGATAGATAGATAGATAGATATGTCCTTGTACAATCAAGTATCCCAGTATGTGGTTGGCGGGTGCTCTGGTGTGGTTTGCTTCTTCTTTCTTAATCAAACATCTATCGTCCTTATCTCCCCCTTTTCATTTTTTATGTTTGTTACTCTCTTGTAACACCTCTAATTTTCGGCACTTATTATGACCTTATTGTGTTGCAAAAGCAGTAAAACTTTACTAAAACTTAAACTTGCTCTCTCTGCCTCTTATTCGCAGACATTCGACAAGGGTCTCAAAGAAATGATCAAGAACAGCGCGACATTGATAGAAAACGGGTATGTCAAATAACCATCTCTGAGAGGTCATTCGTTGCAGCAACATCGTATTTTGTCCGATAGTTGTTTACAAAGTAGGCCTACTAAGATCATAAAACAACATTTGTGAGTTGTGCTGAATAAAAGAGTTACTTCTTTCGGATTTTAGTCGTATGGAAATTGATACATCAACTTTATAGGTGAAGTTTGTACAATTTGTAAGTATGGAATAATAAAAGACACGGTAGACTTGAACAAAATGGCATCAGCCGAAAATCTATACATCTGACCCCAGTGTTGATTTTCGGCGATGTTTCCATTCTTGGATGGCGAGAAGTGACTCATTTTGTCAGCACAACTCACTTTTTTGGGAAGAAAGATAGACAGTTTTCATTCTTTTAACAAATTGTACTCACATAATATAATTTGTGTACTTTTTTTTTCAATACATTTTGTATTTTGAATTTGAATTTCGGCATAATATTTCTTGAGCACAAACCATTTATAAGACATAAAGACGTGATGTTAAAAAAGAATATTTGAAACCATTTAAAACTGTGAGGCAGCGTGGTGGAATCAGGCTCTCGTCAAAATAACCAAAGTGAAGAAACTTACATTTTTCCCAAGGTTTGTGAATTTTTATCAAATTTTTGTTTTTTGGCTCAACACCTTTCATGCCCGTTAAAGAACTCATTTCTGTGTGGATTTTCTTAAAAACGTTGATTAAAGGCACAAAAATGGAAATTTCAGTTCCCACGGACTCTTAAGCTAAGGAAATAACTAATCTTTGGCGGCCATTTTCTCACTAATTTTTCCTCTGAAAACAGGTGACCCCCACCTCCTTCTTTCGCAAATATCTCGACTTGTATTCAAGATAAATAGATATTTTTTTCATCCAAATAGAGACAGGTGAACACATTTAAGATGATACCAATAACTCTACATGCCCGAAAATTGACGAGAGCCTGATTCCACCACGCTGCCTCACATATAATTTGTGTTGGGTTTTTTTCAATACATTTTGTATTTTGAATTTGAATTTCGACGTAATATTTCTTGAGCACATACCATTTATAAGACATAAAGACGTGATGTTAAAAAAGAATATTTGAAACCATTAAAAACATGTTCAGCTACCGATAACAGTGACCAGAAGTCAAACAGCACGAGACAGCTCGGCTCTGTAAGATGTAGCTTCTCTTCCTTTGCTTATAGGTCACAAGAGGCGGGTGCTCTGGTGTGGTTTGTTCCGTCTTTCCTTTCAAATATGTATCGTCTTTGTTATATTTATATACCCTTCTTCTTTTTAGTGTTTGTTACTCTCTTGTAACACCTCTAATCTTTGACACGTATATGACCTTATTGTGTTGCAAGTGTGGTGAAACTCTAACTAGTGGGTTGTTGGCGGGTGCTCTGGTGTGGTTTGCTCCTTCTTTTCTATCAAACATTTATCGTCCTTATCTCCCCTCCTTCTTTTTTTATGTTTATCTTCGTCACTTATACGTGTCACGACACGGTGGAATCAGGCGCTTGTCAATTTTTGGCATAAGCAGTTATTCGTATATAATCGTAAATGTAGTTCATTTGCCTTGCTTTCCATTTTTTATAATCCATTTATCTTGAATGGAAGTCGAGATACTTTAGATTGAAGGAGGTGGGGTCGCCTGGTTTCAGAAGTAAAATTAGCGAGAAAACAGCAGCCAAAGTTTGGTGACTTCCATAGCTTAAGAGGCCTTGGGAACTTCAAATTTAGATTTTTGCGCCTTTAATGAACGTTTTTTTCATAAAAACTCAAACATAAAACTGTTTTAAAATGGACATATAAGGTGTTCAGCAAAAAAAAAATCCGAAAAAAAAATTCTAAACTGGCGGAAAAACGCAGATTTGTCGGATTTCATTATTTTTACGAGCACCTGATTTCACCTCGATGTCTCACATATGACCTTCTTGTGTTGCGAGTGCCTAAAACTCTTATTAAAACTAAGCTTATTCTCTAACCAAAACAAAAAAGAGGCTTTGGTAGAACGTCTTGTCTCACAGTTTGTCAATCTCTCCCTGCAGGCAATCTGGGAAAAGGAAATCTGTGAAGAAGAGTCAGGTCTCTCCTATGGACGGGAAGTGGACAGACGCCAACAACAACAACAACAACGACATCAACAACAACAACAACAGCAACAACAACACCAACAGCAACGACAACAACGACAACAACGACAACAACAACAACAGAAACAACATCAATAACAGCAACACGGGTCTCAGCAACATGAAGTGAGTCTACCGAAAACATTTAATGAAAGGATACAATCTTTGGTTTGGCTTCGCTTTTCTTGCATATTATGTTGAACGCCTTGCTACGCACAGTCAGGCTATTTCAAAAGAGGTGCGCTTAGGAACGACAAAAATGGGGCAATGATATCTGTCTAACACCTCTGCATGTGGTTTAATGATGCGTCTGATGTGAATGTACGTTTTGTCAGCTTTACTTTTATTTTCATATAAAATTTTAATGAGAGTAATATATAATTTAGATTTGTTGTTATGTATATTTGCATGTGTTTTTATGGTCCTGTACAGCCAAGAAAAATTTCTTTCAGAGATATTAAAGTATTATACATCAACTTTATAGGTGGAATTTGTACCATTTGTAATTATGGAATAATAAAAGACACAGCAGACTTAAATAAATTGGCATCAACTGAAAACCTATACATCTGACACCAGTGTTGATTTTTGGCCGATATCTCCATTCTTGGATCCCAAGAAGTTCCTCATTTTGTCAGCACAACTCACAAATGGTATTTCTCCCCAGATACTCCGTGTTTGCCCTGGGCTCAAGAGCCTTCCCCCACTTCACCGAGATAGTCAATGAGCTTTGCTTTCAGTAAGCAATAGGAATTGTTTTTTAAACGTGAACAAATCGTATTTTCTCAGATACTCCGTGTTTGCCCTGGGCTCCAAAGCCTACCCCCACTTCGCGGAGTTCGGCAAGACTGTGGACAAATCTCTGTCTGACCTCGGGGCCACGAGAGTTCACAAGGTCGGAGAGGGAGATGAGCTGCACGGACAGGAGCACAGTTTTGACACCTGGGCCGGCGCTGTGGTGGAGGTAAGGAGGACAGTGACAATGACAGCCTTTATTCATCTCACATGGAGAAATGTGTCTTGTTCATTAACAAAGGCAGTCGTCAACATCATCCAGTGCCAGATCTGCGACAGACATCGGCGATCATGGTTTTCCATTCATTCCTTTGCTCGGATGCTCTCAAAAAAGCTACGTTTCCCTGATCTTTTCCTGTTACCCATTTGTTTAGGTTCCCTAAGTATGTTGTTCTGGGCCTATCCCTGCCTCGCTTGCCCTCAATTTAACAAAGGCAGTACACGTTACAAAAGTTAGGTGCACTCACGCATACGCACAACAAGACAGGACATTAGTAAATACATGTCTCACGTGCTGGGACAACCCGTTCCGTAAAACTCTCTCTCTCTCTCTCTCTCTCTCTCTCTCTCTCTCTCTCTCTCTCTCTCTCTCTCTCTCTCTCTCTCTCTCTCTCTCTCTCTCTTTGTGTGTGTGTGTGTGTGTGTGTGTGTGTGTGTGTGTGTGTGTGTGTGTGTGTGTGTGTTTGTGTGTGTGTGTTTGATTTGTAGCACCTTGTGTTTAGAAACCTCATTGCAGTTGGTACGAATGAATTTCTATATCTGTCTGTTCTTGCATTTTTTGGAAATGTGGGTCGATAGTTGAAATTCCGATGCAGTTCCGATCTCAATGGGTGGCTATGGTCACTTAACATCATTTCCGCATTTTTTAGACCGTTCGTCTTGTGCAGATATTCAAAGTTACTCAGGTCTCTACCAATTGTTCTTGATGCCTTTAGGATCAACTTGTTTATTTTAATGATGTGCTGTCTTCCCAAATTGCTACCATAGCAAGTGATACCAAAATTTATTAAAGTTTCTATCTATTGGTGGTGGTGTAGAACATCTGAAGAATGGATGGAGTCAGATTGAAAGACCCAGGTTTCCTCAAAAAGTACAGTTTCTGACTAAAATTACCTTTTTAACGATATTATTGTTTGCGTGGTTTTGCCATGTAATAAATAAAAAGTACAAATATCCTAAACCCCCAACGACTGTTCCCCCCAGGCGGCGTGCAAAAGCTACAACATTGTCCCCGGCACAGACACAGGCACACACAGACACAGACACAGACACAGACACAGACACAGACACAGACACACAGAAACACAGACACAGACACAGACACAGACACTGACACAGACACAGACACAGACACAGACAGTGAAGTACGATTACATGTATCCTAACCCCCCATCAACTGTTTTCCCCCCAGGCGGCGTGCAAGAGCTACAACATTGTCCCAGACAAAGAGTCCAAGAACAAGAAGGAGACGTCGAGGAAGGCAGTCCAGGCGTGGACACCAGACACCTACAGGCTCCTACCTCAGCCACAGACACCAAACCCGGACCTTTGTACCGGTCAGTGAAATGAACAATTGGTCGCTTTTAAGGACGAGCGGGCTAACCCACAGTTTGGGGGTTTCAAGAAATCTTGACCTTCACCAAAAGTGGCCATTGCCCTACCTATAGGAGAAGTTTGGCTCCATTTGTGTGTATATTAGTTTGGTTATAGAGAAAACTATCCTTGTCTTTTAAAGAAACTAAACAAGGGGCAAAAACTTTAATGTCGATTTTCTCAAAACAGCATTTTGGGGGGATAGCCTCCTTGTACTTAAAAGCGACCAATTGTACTGCACTACCCTAGAATTACAAAATTCTATAGTATTATGCTCAGTACTTAGTTTTGAGAAATTTGACGTAAAAATTGTTGAGTTTCTCTTTATGTCAAGCCTTTTCGAAATGCAATTCTTTGAATATCTTAATAACGACTCCGAATAATCTTAAAATTTGATAGAGCAGATAGAATAATAGCCTAGCCTACTATAATTTGGTTTCTGATTATATATTTTATTGTCTTGGTTACTGAAAACGGCCAAAAATGCCAAATAGAACCTTGTAATTCTAAAGTAGCGACTTTACTCAACCCAACGCAAACAGAGCACTTGCATTTTAATCAGCACCGAGAAAACTTGACGCTTGTATTAAATATATACTCACCTTGAAAAAGAAACTGTGCCTTTGCACCGGCCAGACACGACTTGGCGACTGTATTGTAGTATACTCACCACAAGGCATAAGAAAGCTTGGCGATTCTAGTTTACTCACCCCAAAGCAAACTGTGCCTTTGTATCCCCCCCCCCCCCCACTCACCCCCACCCCCCAAAAAGTAAATACTGTACTCCTGTATTTTGCGCACCACAGAGCAAACTTTCCACACGTATTAATTTGTTTACCAAACTCGGTCACTATTAATTCCTTCCATAGCAACGTCATCTCAAAACCTCATTTGGTTCAAAACCGCTGCATGTTTGCCTTACTAATATTCTTGCAAATTCGACATTAAATTGACCCCTTGACAGGTCGCTTTTAGGGACAAGCGGGCTAACCCAGATTTTTGGGGTTTCAAGAAATTTTAACCAACACCAAAAGTGGGCATTGCCCTAACTTCGGTTTCATTTGTGTGTATATGTGTTTGGCTATAGGGAAAACTCACCTTGTCTTAGAAACTGAACAAGGGGCAAAAACTTTACCTTCGATTTTCTCACAACAGCATTTTCGGGATAGCCCCCCTTGTACTTAAAAGCGACCATTTATCTTTTTTTTTCTTCTCCAGCTCTGTCAAGTATCCACAACAAGAAGGTGGTTTCGTGCAGCTTGAAAGAAAGGACTCAGCTACAGAGCCAGGACTCAGAGTGAGTGACACGTCTTCTTCTTTCTCAGCTGTCAGGTCTTTGTTTTAGTAAGGTTTTACGGCGCTCCCAACTGCATAAGGTCATATTGAACGCCAAGAGGTGGATGTCAACAGAGAAGTCCAAACGGGGAATCAGGCGTACTCTGCTCACCTCTCTAGTTTCAATAGCACAAAGTCTTCTTCGACTATCAAGGCACCTTATCTCCCCTCCTTCTTTTTTGTGTTTGTTCCTCTCTTGTAACACCTCAAATCTTCTTCGCTTGTTTGACCTCATTGTGTTGCAAGGGCCTTAAAGCCTCTACTAAAACTAAAAAGTGTGGACTGTGTCGTGTACTTCCTGTGTCCACAGCCGACAGACCATCCTTGTGGAACTGGACACGGGCGGGAAACCGGAACTGACCTATGCCCCCGGAGATCACGTGGCCATCTTCCCGGAGAACGACCCTGACCTTGTGGATGAGATCCTACAACGACTGGTGGACAAGCCGCCCTACAACTCTGTTGTCGCTCTGGAGATTTGTGACGTGTCGGCGCCGGGAGGTGGGACTGTCTGTCTGTTCGTTGGTCTGGAGATTTATGACGTGTCTGTCTGTTCGTTGGTCTGTGGATGTGTGACGTGTCTGTCTGTTCGTTGGTCTGGAGATTTATGACTTGTCTGTCTGTTCGTTGGTCTGGGGATTTGTGACGTATCTGTCTGTTCGTGGACCCATTGTGGGATAACGTAGAGCTCTTTTTTACGTAAACCAGCGGTTACCAATTACTTTTATCATTAAGAGATTCTTTTTTTTCGAATTTATTTTTGAAAAATAAAAACTGATGCTTCGTAGTGCTTGAAAAGCGAGGTTATTCCAAATCCTGATGACGTTTGGAGCCAACCAGGAAACCACCGGAAGAAATCACATCATTAGAAAGTAAGTAATTGTATTCGGAGTCGATTCCTACGATTCCTAGCTTTCAATAATCGGAAACCTAACCGCCCAGCACTAGTTGCCGGTAGGGTTAGAGTGTTTGTATCGTATCTCCTGTATATTCACAAGTCAGAGCCCTCGTCTAGTATCTACTTTAGGTTCACACATCGGAGAGCTTGTCTCGTATCTCTTTATGTTTTAGTGTACCCCCGGGGCAGTGCCATTGACTGTAATGTCTTTAGGCCATTCCAAAAGGGGGGACCTTTCTCATTCATGCACAGTAGAATTGTAAATGGGTTGATTCATCGTGTCACGCTCATAACTGTGCCTGATCTACAACAGGGAACTGCTGCTTTTTCTTTCCACATCCTTACTATTGTCATTTTCCTCTACTTCTTTTGTATGTTTGTCACACTCTTGTGACCTGCTATTTCCAGGGTGCCTTGATAGTCGAAGCAGACTTTGTGCTGTTGAAGCTGGAGAGGTGAGCAGAGTAAGTCTGATTCCCTGAAAGACTTCTCTGTTGACACCCACCCCTTGGCGCTCATATGACCTTATGCAGATGCGAGCGCCGTAAAACCCTCTACTAAAACTAAAACTAAGTAAGAGTTTTACGGCACTTGCAACACTATAACGCCATATAAGTGCCGAAGATTAGAGGTGTTGAAAGAGAGTAACAAACATAACAAAGAAGGAGTGATTAGGACTCTAGACGTTTGATAGGAAAGAAGGAACAAACCACATCAGAGCACCCGCCAACCACTTACCTTGTATCTCTTGTAAGTTCACACTACTGAACTTTCGAATTTGAAATAATTAACCGTGGTTCAGAATCATTTAATGGGCGCACAGATATTAAAAGTCTAAAGTCATTGTAGTTTAATTTTCAAGTTTTCATTAGTTTCAGTTAGATCTAATCTTGGGAAAGTCCGTCTTCTAAAACGCCATTGTAAACAAGAGAGGCTTCCGTTCACAAGCAGTGTGCACTGTACTCACAATGACATGACGATCGATTTTTTGGAGTCCGTTCATCGAACAGGGTACCAAGATAGTTCTAACCTAACACAAAGGTCCTATCTTCTTATATTACAGGAAATCGCAAGTCCTGGAAACCAGTGAACAGATTCCCGCCATGCAGCATGCGTGTGGCCTTGACCTCTTTCCTAGACGTGACCACGCCCCCGACCCAGTCTCTACTCAAGATCTACGCGACACAAGCCAAGGACGTGAACCATAGGAAGAAACTGGAGGAGTTAGCCACGGTGGGTGGCCGGATGGGAGTCTTATTGTTCAGTGGTTTTGTTCATCTGTGAGGGAACTGGTGTCTTCCTGGATTACGAAGCTGTTTACTTTTGTTCCTTTCCCTAAAAGTAGTAGTAAAAGGGCAACAGAGAAAGTGAGGGGGCTCTCGTGGCCTAGAGGTTAAGGTGTTGGCTTCTCGCTCAAAAGGTCCCGGGTTCGAATCCGGGTAGCGACCGAAAATAAATTCATCTCTAAATTTGTCTCCTTTCACCCCATTTCCTGCTCTCGAGCAATGTTCTATCGTATGCTTTCGTCTCCTCTTTCTGCCCCCACCCCCTCACCTCCTTTGCCCCTTCCTCTGGGCTCCTGATTCTTTCTGCAGCCTTTCTACTGCTACTCCTTCGCTTCTTCTTACTGCTGTCTTTCAACCACACCCCTGATCTTCTGGTAGGAAAGATCTACACCTAGCCATCTCGGACAAGGGCGAAAAATCTCGGAGGGCCCGTGTGCAAGTTGCGCACGTTAAAGATCCCTTGGTGTTCTAAAATCGATAAGAGTAGGCTTCGGCCGCCACCCGGGCAAAATTCAAAATGTCCTACCTTATGCAGTTACGAGCGCCGTAAAACCCTCCACAACATAAAACCTCTATATTTTAGCTACAAAAGGTTCATGTTCTTACAACAGAAAACCTCTATATTTTAGCTACAAAAGGTTCATGTTCTTACAACAGAAAACCTCTATATTTTAGCTACAAAAGGTTCATGTTCTTACAACAGAAAACCTCTATATTTTAGCTACAAAAGGTTCATGTTCTTACAACATAAAACCTCTATATTTTAGCTACAAAAGGTTCATGTTCTTACAACAGAAAACCTCTATATTTTAGCTACAAAATGTTCATGTTCTTACATCAGAAAACCTCTATATTTTAGCTACAAAATGTTCATGTTCTTACAACAGAAAACCTCTATATTTTAGCTACAAAAGGTTCATGTTCTTACAACATAAACCCCTCTTAATTTGGAAACAAAAGGTCCCTAGTCTTTTAGCACACAAAACCTGTGTATTTTGGTAACAAAAGGTCTAACTTTTCACCACACAAACCTCCTCATCTTAGCTACAAAAGGTCAAGGTTCTTTCAACAAAAATCCTCTTTAATTGGGCTGGAAAAGGTACATCTTTTTACCACAGAAAACCTCTCTATTTTGGCCACTAAAGGTCCCTGTTCTTACACCTCACAAAACCTGTATATTTTGTTTTGGCCACAAAGATCCATGTTTTTTACCCCACACAACCTGTATATTTCATTATAACATTGTATTATATGTGAGGCGCGCTGACAAAATGAGTTACTTCTCACAATCCACAAAAGCTGATATTGGCCAAAAATCGACTCTAGGGACACATTTCTAGGTTTTCTATTGATGCTTTAGTCATTGAGTACTAAATGCCTTTTGTTTTTTCATATTTATAAATTGTAAAAACTGAACCTATTATAAGCATGATAATTTATCTATTTTCATAG